TGACTAGTTACAAATGTAATCTAATAGTTTAGTAAGGAAGAAGGAAGTGGGAGGGTAAGATGGCCAGTACAGTGTCTGTAGTGTTTGGGCCTGTCAGAGAGCCCTTCGTGGACTTTGTTCTGATAGGTGGAATCTGCAGAAACATTTGGATGGATTGTTTTTAATGATGCAATTTTTCTTAAGAGAAGAATACAATTGTATGTCTACTGTGTATGGAGCCAAAAGGCTTAAAGAGGTTGGAACTAACAAGGCTTAACAAAAGAATAAATGATCTAAAATTACATGCTGGATACAAGGCTTGGCATGATCTACAACATGTCTGGGGAAAGGTCTATGCAGTTAAATCTTAATCTTCAATTCATGTGCGTGTCAATCACTTTTAATTGTCACTGTGTCACACTCTAGAATCCCCTGGTGTGTGAGTCTCAGTGAGGGATAGTCTAGGTTGGACTCCGGGGATGTCTGTGGGGATTATCTTCATTATGTCCATTAAAGTGGGAAGACACTGACTGTAGGTGGCGCTGTCCCCTGGACTTGGGTGCTGAACTGTATGAGAAAGGAAATAAATAATGGATTTATTCAAGCATCCATGTGAATGTTCATTTCTGTCTGCTCTGACTGTGGGTGTGATGTAATGAGCTGCTTTGGCTTCTCTGTAACCTTGACATCCCTGCAATGATGTCCTGTGACCCAGAATTGTGACCTAAAATAGACTCTGTCTCCCCTAAGTCCTCTGGTGGGGGTGTTTTGCCACAGCAGCAAAAAAGAAAACTGAGACAAGTGGTAGCTTGGTTCTTAGTGCCTGGTCCTCATGTGCCTGCTCAGCCAATCCTTAAAACTGAAGGTTTCCATAATTTGGCAGGGGTAGAAGCGTGGAGTGTGGTGTGGTGGGTTCCTGACCTGTGTGTCTGTTGATCTGTGATTTGGGGTGGTGAATTTTTCTTCAGGGGTGAATTTTTCTTCTGCATAAGCTGGGATGAGTGTGTGCTCCTCCACCAAGGCCTTGAGCACTGTTGTTGGAGTCCACAGGGTTCTCAAGGGCCTCGGCCATCACTACTTTAACTTCTCATCAAGGAAGACACAAAGTTTGAACACCAGGTCCAGGGCCTGTGGTTAGCCATTTCCAGAGAAACTTTCACCAGACTACTGGAATCCACGCTGAGGAAGCATGTTTCTTTCTTTTGGGTCAAAGATCCCAGAAGTCTATGCACTGAGTGATAGCCCCAGCTTCAGGCAAGTTTCTAAACTGTCGACTTTGATCATGGACCATGTCCTGGTCTACCCTCTCACGGGCGACAGACCTCTGAGAACTCCAGCTTTATGTGGGAGTCTCAGTTGCCACCTTGCCCTCGCTCTTCATGTAGGCTCTGGTGCTTTTTGCCTTGAACAACTTAGATACTGTGATTCCAATCCCATGAGGCCAGAATGGGAAAGCTCTCCCCTCCGCTCAGGACAGCCCCCTCCACCAGGGACTTGGCTCTGATTTTCACAAACAATCTTCTGTATTTGAATCTGGAGAATCTCTTACTGTCTTGTAAACTCAGATGGAGTAATATTTGCTATATTTTACTCGGAATGTGCTCTCTATCTATCTATCTATCTATCTATCTATCTATCTATCTATCTATCTATCTCTCCTTCTCCCCCTCACTCTCCCCCACCTCTCTCTTTCAACAAGCTTTCTCTGTGCAGCCTTGGCTGTCCTGGAACTCATTTTGTAGACCAGGCTGGCCTCAAACTCAAAAGCTTCACCTACCTCTGCCTCCCAAGTACTGGGACTAAAGGCTTTCTGGTATATCTAGCCTGCCAAGAGCTAGCTCATCATCACCTTCCCCTGAAAGAATTGTAAATGTCTGCCCACAGGTGGAAGGTTCCTATCCATATTTAAAAAAGAGAGAGGAAGAAGAGTCTTCAACTTTACACACACATACACACACACACACACACACACACACACACTCCAGTCATAAAAAATAAATAATGCATATAACATACAGTCTATGACATACACTGGAGAAATGCTTGGGCTCAGCAAAAATATACTAAATTCCCCTCTTCATGAAAAGCCAAAATATTTATCAGAAAACCACACCGATAAGTCTACCGTTGTGTGGTAGGTGCTGTAAAGTGAATGTTTGTGTTATTATGAGATGTCATGAGAACTTCCCCTGCTCCAGTTAGAAGGCCTCATTTGGGAAGGAGGGGTGGCTTGCCCTGGTTGAAAGGGGGTGCACCACTTGTTTCGGTACGGAGCAGTCTGTGCAAAGGCCTAGGGATCACGACAAACCAAAGGATGGAGAGATAGAAAACAAAATAGAAACGTGTGGTTCCAGAAAAGGCCAAGCAGACCAAACCCTGAGAACCCCTCTAGACTGTGTTGAGGACTTCTGATTTTTTTTTAAAGTAGGGGGAGAATTTATTATGAAGAAGAAGAGGGTTCAGCAGGGGTAGGGAGTGGATAAGGGAAGGTAATGGTATATATGATCAGAATACATTAT